TATATACATACATATATATACATACATATATATATATACATACATATATATACATACATATATATATATACATACATATATATATATACATACATATATATACATACATATATATATATACATACATACATATATATACATACATATATATATAAATATATATATATATATACATACATATATATATATACATACATATATATATATACATACATATATATACATACATATATATACATACATACATATATATACATACATATATATATACATACATATATATATATACATACATATATATACATACATATATATATAAATATATATATATATATACATACATATATATATAAATATATATACATACATATATATATAAATATATATACATACATACATATATATATATATATATACATACATATATATATATATACATACATACATACACATACATATATACATACATATATACATACATATATACATACATATATACATACACATACATATATACATACATATATACATACATATATACATACATATATACATACATATATATATATATATATATATACATATATACATACATATATATATATATATATATATATATATACATACATATATACATACATATATACATACATATATATATATATATATATATATACATACATATATATACATATATATACATATACATATATATACATATATATACATATACATATATATACATATATATACATATACATATATATACATATATATACATATATATATATATATATATATATATATATATATATATATATACATATATATATATATACATACATATATATATATACATACATATATATATATACATACATATATATATATACATACATATATGTATATACATACATACATATACATACATACATACATATATATATACATACATATATATACATACATACATATATATATATACATACATATATATATATACATACATATATATATATACATACATATATATATATACATACATATATATATATACATACATATATATATATACATACATATATATACATACATACATATACATACATACATATATATACATACATACATATACATACATACATATATATACATACATACATATATATATATGTGTGTTTGCAGCGAGAGCTGAACAAACATTAATGCTGCCATTTTAGAATAAAATAATACGCATAGTGGTGTGTTTACCAAAATAAAAATAAATTAATTACAAACAAACAGGCCCCTCAAATCACCTAATACCTGAAGCAGAGCTAAGCCCACTGTGTTATTAAAGGAGGAGTCCGGTCATATTCAGAATTCAAACTTCTGAAAATACTTTAAATATGAAATTATTACATATTGTTCAATAAATGATAAGTGTTTTAAATTAAGAGTGATTTCCAGTTGAATGTGCTTTACTGGAGACATCCATGTTTGTCAACTCTTCTGCCAGCTACCGGTTTGTGACGTCACGCTGCGGTATCGGCTCTTGAGCAAGTCCCAATGCTGTATCTGGTGTTGTCACAACGCGCCATTATCCAAGTCATCTTGGAAACATTCTTCTTCAAAATGTTGGCTACATTTTACGAGTTTTTTTCTCTGTCCAGAAGTTCTATGGCAAATCCTCCCTGTTCAAGTTGGCAATCATACCAAGTACCCGTGTTGGATCATGAATCGGAAAGGTGAAATAACACATTTTTTCCCCCACTTTTACGCAATGTATTACAACATCCAACTGCACGGGGGCATTGTCAGTTTACATAGCTGTTGCCTATTTCAATTATGAAGTCCTCTCAAAATCTTAAATAATTGTTTTCGATTGCAGGTGTGTCCAGTAGCTCCTATTGATTTCGTTTGTAACACGGTGAGAATGGGGCTAGTGAGGTGTTAATATATTTGGGAAAAAATGGCTGCTCCCGGACTCATTATTATTATTATTATTATATATTATTTTAAGCTGATTAACACTAAGTTCATTAAAGCACCACAAACGTATTAGTTCTAGGTATAGATAATGATCCATTGATCATTCCGTGCTGACCGGACTTTTATCTTAAAAAGCTGTTGTACAACGCTGTACTATGGCTGCTGCACAAAGACTCATTACTTTTTGTTGGCTGCACTTAAAAAGAACAGAGCAGTCTTCACTTCATGAAGGAAGACACCATCCAGAAGAAGGTACAGAGTCATTTTCTCAACCAATAAAAAAAAATAATAAAAAAAACAGTTGAGGGCATTACACAAACATTTTAACTGTGATAGAAAAAGACATGATGCTAACGACCACTGTTAGATTGTGATGCTTTCATTAGTTAATGCTCTTCATGTAGCCAAGTTTAAACATTCCTCTGAGAGCAGACATAAGCATCTGTTTAGAGCAACAGCTGATCCCACCATTAATTGTTGGATTAGCCTGAAAGGAAACAGGGCTATATCAATGTAAACTTCCAATCCATAGACAAGAAATGGACAGTAATAATGTGGGGGGTGGGGTCATTATCATTTCATGTAGATAGAATTTAAATGCAACTCTAAGTTTTTTCTTTTTTTTTTTTATGCAGCATATGTTAAAGAAAATTTGCCACTCGTGATTACAAGAACCTCCTGGATACAAGAGAAAAGTAAAAATTTTTGAAAACAAAACAAAAAAAATTTGTCACTAAGATAAATGAAGTTCAGATTGACTCATTAATTGAGTATTTACACCAACAGAATGTTGAAAATCTGCACATGACTAAGATGCAAGCACTTAAATGATGCATCTTGTGTGCTGCTTTGTTGCTATTCAGCACAAACACGATTTATCATTTAGCACCAGCTTAAAAACTTCTTCCTGCATCCTTGCTGGTTGTGTAGGCAGCTCCTCTTCTTCTGAATTTAAGGTCTGAATGAAGGTCAAAGTTGCATGGTTGTACTACTGAGGAACTGTTCGCAGCCATTTTCAAGAGGAGAAAGCAGGAGCGCAAACATTGAGTTAGGCAGGGGGGGGGCACAGCCAGCTTATGTGCATAAAAGTGAGAGAGCCCTGAAAACAGCTTATTCTTTAAGGTCAAAAAAGCCTGAACCAAGGAGTTGAAATCGTGTTTTCTGAGAATCATTTTGTGTAAAATCCATGTTTTGCATAGGCTCGAGACCTATCTAATTTGTTTAAAAAGAATCATAAGCCTAGGAACTAAACACTGTGTATTTTACATTAAATACTGTGAAAATGGTGGGGAATCTTACAGGTCTAAAAATCTGTGGGCAGCAGAGTGGTAACGCGTACAGCCAGGAGGCAACAGCAGCGTTTTATTCCTTTAACTCTCATAAAACAGAGCAAACAGTAACGGTGGGCATGTTCAGGCAATCAGGAAACCTTTGGGAAGGTGGTGGTAAGATAACTGAATTCATCGAGAACAACTCCCTCCTTACTGAGCAAAAGGAGGAAAATCCAATCCGAGTGAGAAAACGCCTTGTTCAGGTGAGGGTTTTTCCACAGTGGAAAATGACAGAGGCTGGTTGGCAAGACATCGCCATGTGGCAGGGTTGATATTAACAAGCTTTGCCAGAGGTAAGACAAAAGAAGTCTCTGAAAGATCACTATGGGGTCACTGGTATCCACAGGAAATCAGAGGGAGAGAAAAAAAAGTTTAAACAAATCACACAAGTCGCAACCAGAATGACAAGAAATCACTCAGGCTTATCAGGGTTGCTTAACGTCAGTCTGATACTGACAGGGCTTGATAGGAGATAACAACCAATATTTAGTACAGATATGGCAAAATGGCTATCAAAACTGAGAGCGATGCGGTTCATTAGCAGGCTGCAGCTGCTACCCATGAACTACGGTTCATGAGCAACTGATGAAAGGATAGCTAAATCAGTTTGCTTTGTTTCAGTACTTAGTTAAGTAAGAAAACAGACTGTCAAGCATGGGATACAATGCTTTAAAAGAGGACATAGTTTAGAAAGATGTCGAAATAAAAAAAAACAAATACAAAAAAAATAAATAAAAAGCAGCACTTTATTACAGAACAGAATTAATACATTTCTTTAACTAAGCCTGAACTTTAGTGAGCTTAGTTAAGCTATTACCCAAAGAGTCGTGTCATTAAACAGCAAGATAACCAGCAAATAGGCACTGCAGAAATTAAATCGTAATCACTAAACAACCTAACAAGCAGGGCGTCAAACACTTGCATGTTTTTTTTTTATGTCTGAAACATAAACCTCGGTGGGTTTATCTTTTTATTTTTATTTTTTTTTTGGGGGGGGGGGGGGGGTATCTAAACAATCAAACACTTTGAAAACACTTTCCTACACTGAACACTGCACAAAATATTCATGTTTTTCTGCCTCCAGTGTAACTACTTCAGTAGCAACATACACAAATTGAGGTCTGGTTTAAAGCAAACGAGAAAATTACTTTTGATGTTTGATATATGCATAAAAGAAAACAAAAACACAATTTAGCTGCTGCAGCTTTGAGGTGACCGAAGAATTTCTCATGAATGTGTTTTTAAAATAGCTTTAAGATGCTGTCCTGCAAGTATAATAATACCAAAAAGAAAAAAAAACACTTTCAATTCATATTCTTTTTAAAAGAATTGGAAGAACCAAACTGGTAACCATAGCAGCAACAGCATCATGCTGAGGGCTTTAAGGCACATAGCACAAAGTCAATGGAATAATGAAAGAAAAAATCCATTAAAGTTCTTCAGGTTTACCTAAATCTAGATAGTTAAACCTTTTCACAGGGAAATTTACACGTGTTGCATATTGGCTAAAGGAGATCAAAATTAACTAACATTCTACAAAGTCAAAGATGCTTTCAAAATGATCTCAGGATCTTGCTGATCAATACAAAAAGAAAGTGTTTTCCCCCAAATAACAAGCATTTTACCTAAAGCCCTTGAACTGCTAGAGACTGAGTAAAAGTAAACAAATAATGAGTTTGCACAGGGAGAGAGCTCTACCTGCTGGGGGCCTTCTCCGTTGACCATGGCTGGGGGCGGTGGTGAGGCCAGGATTGGGAGTTCGGGGCTGAGAAGCTGGCCAGACTCCAGAGGTGGCGTGTGGTCTGCCATGTCTCCCTCATTCACACCACTGAAGAGGTGCTGCTGCAAAAAGACAATTGTCAATGGGAGAGCATACAGTGGATGACAAAGGCGGTGACGTCATGTTCTGATAGTTAGTTGACCCGTGCCGATAACAACATTTACTCAGATTGTTTAGGGGTGTGATTTTCTGTCTGCCTGTAAATTACGACGACTGCATCACCAAGATTACCACCAAGCTCCTATAGTGTAAATATATAGAAGGACTGGATTTAGATTTATTGCTGATTTCACTGCTAAATGCAGGGCCAACAGGGACCACATTCAGTTCTGTCCGAGTCCGCTCTCATGTTTGTTTGTTTTTTATTACAGCCACTTTTAAAGCATTAGCAGGCTGCTGTTAGTGCCAGCCAGGAATACATTTATCCAAGTATGTTGATGAACAACACTACATCCTTACAAGTACCAGCTCTAAGCAAGTCTAAATAAAATTTCCAATCTTTAATGAGGCTGTAAAGTACGTCGGCCAGGAAGCAACTGGCCTTTTCCTGTAACTTGTTCTATGATGCGTCGAACCTGAGCTGGGTATACTGTTGTGTCAGCAGAATAAACATCAGTCCAGAATCTGGTAAAGTTATGGACCAGAATAGAGAAAAGATTTTAAATTCTAAAATTTCAATATAAAAAAACTAACAAAAAACATTCAGACCTTTTCTTTTGGAACGAAAGAAACCCATCTTCCACTGAATGTTTCGTTCAGATCATGTGCCAACTGTTGCCCACCAGATAATGTTTTCTACTGCATTAACAGCTGATGATTAAATCTAATTTTTAACTGTCTGTACTGAATTACAGGAAATGTGATTTTAATTAAACAATGTCTAGCATCAATAGTAGTGGGTATATTAATAATTCACCAATTACATTTTTCTCAATTTAAAAACCAATCCAGAAAATCCTGCGATTTGATTTGTTCCCCCTGGCCAGCAGGTTTTTGTGAATTACATTATACTGAAAAACAGGCAGCGAACAATGTTGTTAATGAATTAAATTATTTTACTTCAGATTTAATACATGGGCAGACGGGACTATTGAGGATTTCATATGGGGGCTTTTGGTCCAGTCCGTGGAGGTCGCTCTCCTAGACCTACAGTAGCAGCGTTCCCCATAACGTCTGTTCAAGAAATAACTTATAACTCAAAGAGATGAGCAGAGCTTTGACTCCAGCTAGTCAACATATTCATCCATGGAACCGAAAGTCAAGCAACACTTTTAAACTTTGCGGTAATACATCAGGACATTTATAAATCTTTTCAGCTACGGTTACTCAGAGAGTCAAAAATGTAGCTTTTTTAGTTCCATCTTATTTTAACAGATTCAAATTAAGTTTGGAATTTATTTATCGCAAGAAATACCATACTGACTACCAGAGCATGTGAACGGAGCGCCGCCCAATTCCCACTCAGGATGATGTTCGCTCATTTGCTATGCCGCCTTAAAGTTGCGCCAGAATGCTCCGCTCAAAATCCACTCTTGACATTTTTACTTCATGTAATCATACCAGGGCCCTAGGACACACGCTGTTCGATTTAATGATGTGACCGATACATAAGTATTGTCTTATTTAACTGGCTGTTAAATTATCGCACTGTTTCCCAGCTGTGAACGTAACACCTCGCTCCATTCATGTTGCCCCGAGTTTCCTATTTAATTATCAATTTATTTTACTTGACTACGTTAAAAAAGGTCACTTTGTATCCCACTGCAAATGAGATAATAGCATATAATGCATGTATGCGATCCATTTTCAAAATGGCTCTCTCCACAACCAGAGCATGTGAGAGCATCGTAGCAAACTGGAGCGGCGCAAAATCCTCGCTCCTGCTTTTGAATTAAAAACCGCTCCGCACTCCACCGTATTTCTTCCACTCCGTCGCTAGCTCCACGCTCTGCTCACAGGCTCTGCTGACTACAGCATATATATATATATATATATATATATATATATATATATACTTTATGCTGTTTCAGTATATCATGTTGGCCACTTGATTCTAAAAATCCTCCCATTAATAGGAGTGTAAATCACACCCATCATAGCGATTCGATTCAGGATCAATTTCCTGACCCAACGATTTGATTATTTTCGATGCTCAAGAAAACATCTTCTTTTCCCTCTGCCAACCCAGCAGTTTAAAGTGGGTCAATCTGTTGGAAACTCCCAGGTAGGACTTTCTCCCGAGTCCAGACTATATCTTCATCTTGATTATTACTGTACTAGTATCTTATTTTCAGATGTGTAGTTCAAAATGATCTTTCAAAGAGGAAAGAAGAGCATTTTAGGTTAACAAGCACTCTATCTTATGCAATACTTTAGAGTTTTCAACATTTTACTCCATATAAATATTAAATTGCTGAAAAATATTAAAATGTGCTGGAGATGCACAGATTCAACTGATACAGATACCTGGGCTGAGCATAGCAGCCGATATCTGAAACCAACCTGATCTTCCCAAGTGATTCAAGGTTTAGCTTTAACATAAACACAGATTACCAGATATGAATGGACTTTAAGTTATTTATTGACAAATAAGCAGCAAAAAGAAAGACATAACAGTTCCGGTGGATCTCTGGAATGCGTACTGGTATATCTATTCACAAAAACAAGAAATTAGATATTTAAGATGTATCTACTGGTATTAACAGTACAAAAAAATCAATTAGTTACATGGTGAGCTTGTAATTAAATTTACTTTTAATTTTACTTAATTTTAAGTCTGGATGAAAAAAAGGTTTCTCTCAAGTGTAAATGAAAATTATTGTTTATTGTAATAATTTCTAGGACAATTTATCATCCAGAAAAATGTATTATTGTGACAGGCCTTTGGAATCAAATCAAATTATGAGGTTTCGATACCCGGCCATAACCATCACAAGGTTGGAAAGAATTACTTTAGTTAAATTAGGGGTCGTAATCTGACCTATTTAAGTAGTATAAAAAGTGTTCATGATTATCAACTAAAACTCTTAACTGGCCCAGATGGGTCCCAAAATAAATATCAATAAAAACTGAGATATTATTAAATCCTTATAAAATAATATGCAATACAATTATTTAAAAAAACAATATTAGAAGGTTCTTATTAGTTTTAGAATTAAAAGATTAAATAAAAAATAAACTGTCTAAAGGTAAAAGAAGAGACGCAGGTTTTTAAAAGCTGATTTTTAAGCCTCTGTGCATATTGAGAGTTGTATTAAATGACAATTAATGTGGTAGGTTCTAGTACATCGACCTAAAACAGCTAAATTAAGACCAAAATACTTTGAATTTGTAGTATATTTTATAATTTTTTTCTAAACCAATTTTCTTTTACCTGCAGCAGAAAAACAACAGATTCTACTAGTTAAAATCAAAGTAATATGCACGTTTAACAAGAACATTAGAGATAAAGAAATTCATTGACATTAAGAGAATCTATAGGGTCTATTAAGGTTTTCAGAAAAGTTCTTTCACACACCCGTTTGAAAGCCGCAATAATTTATGTATATTCATAAAAGTTGTGGGGGAAGCAAGCGCAGATCTGAGTTCAAAATTATCTGAATTAAATGTTCGAGTGGAAAACCATTTACCTCATTTATAGAGAATTTTCCAAACATCTCCCCCACCCACTGCTTAGTCAAGCACCTAATACTGCCCAATGTCTTCTCAAACTCTTTAAATGACAAACACAAGAGCAAAGGCTTACAATGGTGTCTATAACAACCTAATGAACAACAAACAGGCTGGTATTAATAGGCTTATAATAATGTTCTAAATAAAATCATGTAAAACTTTAGATTACATTCTCACAGAGCGATACAGAGGAATGGAAAACATAAGAATAACGATGTAGTGATAAAATAATATACATAAATGTTGTTTAGAAGAAGTAAACACAAATACCATCACAGAAGAGGGACATGTGTCCTTGAACCTAATTGGACTCCAGCGCATGCGTCTCTAAACCTCAGAGTGATCTGGCTTATCTGTTAGATTTAGCCCCTCCCTTCCTTCGGTTTAAACGTCAGTCAGTCTGCAGTCTGATGGTGAGTGAAATAGATTTAAAGGAACTATTATGACAAGTGTGGACTGACATGATTTGGATTTCCCCTCCGAGGCTGAACGATCTGTTGGGATTAAACATCTAGATTCTAGACTCTACCCCCGATCAGAAAATGTTAAAGGTGCCGTCCTGCAGCTGTATTCTAAAAAGAAAAACCCCTGAAAATGATTTATTTTAGGAGGCATTACTCTGCTCAACTGACTAGTGTTGTATAAGCATAAACACCTATTTCCTTGTTTTGCTTCAGGTTTCCGTCTTTGAAAAAAACAAACCCAGTAATGAATATTTAAGCAAGCCCTTCAATAAAAGTCAGGTAAAAACACCAGCCCACTCAAATCTTGTATTCCTTTTGCAGCTGCAATACAGCAAAACCAAAATCCAACCTTCCTGTTAGAGCACTTATACTTCTGTATCCGAACTGTGGCGACATCTGTTGTTTCCCCGATTATAGATATCTTTTTTGTTTGTTCAGAAGAACAGCTGTTACAGTTCCATGCTCCACCTTGAGCCCACCAGAATAGTGTGTATGTGCATTATAATACCAGATAAAGCATATACACAATTCATGCCAAACTCATTAGGTTGTATTGCTTGTTGACATAAATAGAAAACCAACCAATATGCATGGTAGTACAGTAACTCAATCCATTTTTGAATCTTGATGTCATAAAGACTCATCAAGTATAAACCAAACATGAGAATAGGGACAGAAAGGATTTTAAGTAACTTTAACCGTGGTATGGTTATGTAGAGCCGGAGAAGCTGCTTTGAGAGATTTAGAAACTAATCAACTTTTGAGATTTTTCACAAACAACCACCTTCCAGATTAACAGAGAATGATCCCAAAATGGGAAATTGAGTGAGTTGCACTTGTGTAAACAGCAGGGGCTGATGACAAGGAAACATTAACTCAAATAATTATTTAGGCTCAACATTTGGTGTAAACAATGCTGCTCTGTATTACTGGTTCAGGCTGGCGTTGATATAATGGTTTAGAGGATGTATTCTTGGGACGACTCAGCATTTTTTTTTTATTATTTATATCAAGACTTCCTGATTAGTGTAGCTCAGCATCTCCATTTGGCAGCAAAATTTTAACGTGATGAGGGGTCCATGCAGATAGTAGGAAAAAAAAGGTATACCTCATTTTAATCTCTAAAAGGTTTTGAAAAAAAAAAAGAAATGTATGAGTCGATGCCATTTTGTCAATAACTTATTCTATTAAACTATTACTTTATCTATCCTGCATTAAACAAGAGTCAACAAATATATATCCAGTGTAAAGAAACCCACTTAGTGATAATTGATATCCAATTAGCTGAATAGCCTATAGTAATATGGAAATAACTGTAAACTTGCTGCTTATTGTGCAGCTTTAATCTCATTGTTTGTTCTCCGGTGCTGCAATGGACTAACTTAATAGAGCACCTTTTGGATGTGGTGCTATGGAACATTCACATCAAGGATTTTGTGGAGCGAAGAAATCAGCAGAAACTGTTCCAAGCGACCATGTTTTTATGCTTTGAAGGATTCATGCAATTACAGATGCAAAAAGGAAGCTAAAGCTATTCATGGTGTAACTAATAAAGCATGGAAAGAAGCATCTCCTTTTAAATCCCACCTATACACCACTAGGAATTAAATCATAGTGCATCTGTTTATATGGGTAAACTATAGGATTTTGCAAAAACTGAAAAAGACATTTCCAAGTAATTTTTTTTTTACAAAGTCTTTCAAAAACTTCACTGACATAATGTCAATGAAAGACTATTGTTGAAGGTTTCATGGTATTTTTTCGGTGACAAATGAATAAGGATCATCAGTACAACCTTACTGTAATTTTTAAGCAAATGTAATTTTCTAATCTAATTTTTTGTTTGAAGATGTTGTTGGGTTGAAAAAAAGGTTTTTATGTGTTTGTAAGTTTGTACTATGTTATAGAATTTTGGTTTCTTTTTTTTTTTTTTAAACGACTAAGACATATGCAGATACAACAGCCCTTTAGCTCGCTCCTGAATGTGTATTTCTATTATATATAAAAGTTGTGCATGATATTTTAAAATATCACTGTGCACATTATTAATCTAAAATGTAATGAGCTAAAGCAGAGGGGAAAATGTGCATTTATCACAACCAATACTTTGTATCAATGACCAAACGCAATGCATCCAGGTAGTTTTGTAATATTGTCGTAGCCCTAATACAAACAATCAGTGTTTGAATAGTGTTTAAAGTGGAGCAAGAATGACAAATCAAATCTCTTATTTCATCGCTGAACCTCACCAAAGCCATGCTTTTGCACTGCCTTCCTACACTGGGTCATGTCTTAACATTGCTTAAACTCATTACTCAATGTTCTCCAAAGATTTCCTTTACAAAGAGGCAAGAACTTTGTTTTTTGTTGCACCAATATAACCACCACACTTCAAAGGTTTTGACATGTAATTATCAGCAAGTTCATGGCTTTCTTACATGCTCAATTCTCTTGATTTGTGTTAATATAACAAGCAGCTCTAAAAACAGGCTTTTTATCAGATACAGCAAGTTACATTATGATAATGCAAACATGCCAATAATGTAACCCAGGTATGTTACTTAAAATTCTTCCAATTTACCAAATCTTATTGCAACAGATTTGTGTTTGGTTTAATAAAAAAAAAAAGAAAAAAAAAAAGTTGCGTTTATTAAATTAAACCCATAAGGCCTGCGATTACAAACCAATTTCAATTACATTCAAAAGTCAACTAATTCGATCCATAAGGAAATTTTTAAAAAGCTCACATGAGGTCCAGATTCATTAATAAATCAGAATATTTTTAATTAGTTTCACAAATATTATTTTTTTAACAATCCTGCAAGTGGTGTATTTTTAAGACCAAAACTGTGTTATAACATTAAATCCCCCAATAAAGGTCTATATATTTATTGTGTAAAGAAAACACTTTTTGTCATTACTTAACCCCAGAGCAGACTCAATTTCACCAAAGTAATATAAAATCGGTTTCATATCCCTCTCCCTAATGCACTAACACCTGTAGCTGATTTGTAAACAATAATCTGGCTGAAATTCAATCTAAAAGGCACAACTTAAGCAGAAGTTCAGCTGAAACACCTGGAAAACATGGTTCCTACTCCAGATGTAACAGCTGGCCATCTTACATCCGAGAAGCTTATATGTTTTTCGTGCTAACACCACCTCTCCATGACACTTTGTGAAGATTTAGCTCATACAGACTTAATTAAAAATAAAACTGAAGTAAATATCCAAGGAATGTGTTTCTTATGATATTATTAGCCAACTGAAGCTAACTGAACTGTTTACTAAGGCTACAGGTGTCTACTTAGCGTTATGTCACTGCTGTCTATTATCTAACTCCAGCATAACCTTTCAGCCAGCACATTGACACATAATAACCTTACGGGGGAATTTAAATAAAAGGGGGTTATATATTATTGATAATCGCAGTAGAAGAGCGGAATGTTGCAGCTAATGTTACTCACTCAGTCAGATGGCACAGCAGCAGCAGTCAATGCACAGTGATGTTTCCTACGCAATTCTTCCTGGTAGCCTTTAAATGTCAGCAAAGCTACAAGCCCTGGGCTACCTTCAGCAACACCTGAGAGCGACACCTCGCTAGCTACCTGGATAAACACAGCAAACGGCCAAATGTGTCATGCTAGCATTAGCTACCTAATGCTACCTAGCAAAAGAGTTCGCGAGATGATGTTGATGATAGTGTGTTTTTTCTCCCTCCCCCTCGTCGTATAAAGCGGCGGCTTATTTGTGTTAAGCACGTCCTAAACAGTACAGGGCTAACAACGGTAAACGCTAAGCCTAGCCGCTAGTTTTATCGAGATAACTTTCCATCCACAGCCTTGTTCCACGAATAATAAAAAGGCAGGAATTTTTTTTGCTCGCCGGAGCTTAGTGCGCATGCGCGGCCGAGTAACTCTGACGAATCCCCCTAAATTCCAAGGTAGTGAATGAAAGCATTTATACGGTTGTCTCTGCGCGTTCGATTATATTCGTAAGCAAACGGAGGGAGGTGACGGGGTGAGGCATTCACGGACCTCGTTTGGTTGCGCACATTTCTGTTGGTTTTTCAGTAGGACCCTATGGTTGACGTGTCTTAGAGTGGTTCGTCCAAGTCAGCCACAGATATCACAGAATTCGTCTGCAAAAGAATAAGCTCCAATTTGGATGTACTCCTCTTTGAATACATAAAATACATATATTTAATCCAATTTGTTTAGAGACATCACCAGGTTGCATGTAAAACTCTGCTTCTAAGTGTGTTAACTTAGCCTGTTTCTAAATACTAAAGGTGAAAATATCCTTTTGACTGTTTATGCAAAGGTATTCCTTAATCATTTCATGTTACAATCAAAAAAAGATTCTTAAAGGAATTTTATGTGATAGACCAACAGAAAGTCAGACAAAGGTGTGATGTTAAAGAATGATAGATGGTTTTCTATTTGTGTGTGTTTAACTTTTATCATCTAAACTGTAATCCAGTCAAACCATTCTATCTATCTATCTATCTATCTATCTATCTATCTATCTATCTATCTATCTATCTATCTATCTATCTATCTATCTATCTATCTATCTATCTATCTATCTATCTATCTATCTATCTATCTATCTATCTATCTATCTATAGACTATATATTATCTGGAGCTCCCCCTGCTGGACACATTGATAATAGAAATTGGAACAAACAGCTCTGTTGTATAAAATCGATGACTTGTTGAGCGGTTATTGAGAGTAATACTTAACGGCCAAAAAATTTAATCATCTGGTCTCAAATAATTAGAGTTTTCAATTCAACTTTCATTTAAGCAGGGAAAGTCCTACTGAGGAAGAAAAAAATAATTATTCTTAAGGAAGTCATAGGAATTTAATTTAGTCTAATTCATTCTTTTATTGGATTTAGTTTTCAGTTATATATCAGTATAACTACATTCATTGACTATATTAATGATGATAATAATAACATGTCTATTATTTTTTTTGGCCGAAGCAAATCAATTAACAGTTTTGGAAAAAGGAAATATTTATATATTATTCGTATAATATGAAAGCTGTACAAAACGAAATTTCGTATTGTATACACTCTTTATACAAAACTAAAATAAAAGTTGTCAAGGTCTGAAAAAGAGATTAGCTCAAAGCACTTTCTGATCAAACAAAGCTTAAATAGAAATAATTGTCCTAACGTAACAATCAATGGCGTAGCAACACAAATAGGCCCGTAAGCAACATTATCTGGGAGGGCCCCATATGATGTAAAACACTCTGGATTACACATAATTCCAAGCTGTAGTGTAAAAAATAAAATACGCAAATACATCATTCTTTTAAGATCTTAATTGCTGCTTGAAACATATTATATGACTGTATTTTAACCAACTGTCTAAGGAACTATACACAGTTATTAACATAGTAATTAAAAGTACAACGGTCTGCTTTGGTATTGGCATTGTGTTTAAATGGCTCACCATCTTGTTGAAATCTGCCGTATGTTGGGGTATAAATAAGGTCCGGTCAGTCATTTAAAAATCCGCTGGACTTTTAGAGGAATTTTTCGCACCATTATGTCTGCAATCAGACGTCCCATTCCACAATTGCGAAGGGGGCCCTAAAATGGTCAGGGGCCCCTAAGCAACTGCAGTCTCTGCTTACTGATAGTTACGCCATTGGTAACAATACAAGCTCTAAAATGACATAGTTTCAAATTACAGGTTTAAAGATTTAGAAATTATGTAGACACATAAACTGATTAGGAAGAATAATAATTTGGGATATGTTAAATTACATTTAATTCCTTTCAAGATATCTCAAATTACGACACCGGATTTGTCATTTAAAGCATCACACATATGTAATTCATATGTAGGGGCGCTGAAAATAACAGTAAATGGAGCTGATTTAACTTTTCCTTCTGTGGATTAAACTGACAGTAAGGAATTTTTTAGGAATGATCCTCCTGGAAGCCCATTAAAAAGATCATGACACATTTTGACTAGTCAGAATGTCAATTTAAGATATCTTTATTGAAAAAGCTGAATAATTCAAGATATCTTTAATTAATTTAGAGATGTGTTAAAAAGAATTTCGTGTAGTTGAAATTACAATTCAAGATATCTTTAAATTTGTTTAGCCTAGTCATTATTTGCTTTGAAGATATCTATAATTGAGTTTTCACTAGTAATACTGCATATCTCCTATCCTAAAATACATTTAAGATATCATGAATTATGGTGTCATTCGAGATATATTTAATTAGAATTATGACTAGTCAAAACTAAAATCGAGATATCTTGAAATTACTTTATGACTAGTCGTAAGTTAATCGCATATATCTGAAATGTGTATTTCAGATAGTCAGTAATTCATTCTAGATATCTTAAATTGACGTCTCCATACAAGTTAATGTTAAATCTGACATCATTTCGACTAGTCAGAATGTAATTAGAGATATCTTAAATCGCTAAAGCTTCTAGTCATAAAACAATTTGAGGTACCTTGAATGTAAAGGCGGTACAACCGAATTTATGTTAAAATGGCTTGCCATATATACTCAGGTCAGCGAGAAGAGTGCTCCAAACACGAATCTCAACTTCCCAAAGCATCAGCGTGGGTTAAACAGTTTCCTCCGGCGACTGACTCATTTAAATTTGTTTAATAAAATGATTCAGTGGAGCAGGATGCGCCATGCCTACTCAGTAGGAGGGCTGAGCAAGCCTGTGAAAACACAGCTGAGCTGCAAGACACTTGCAAACATGACGCGTTAAAACAAATATGGGCAATAATAAATATGAATTATGAGCAATTTGCATTTTTTCTAAGTTTATACAAGATGTTCAACTCAGCGAGTCAGTAACCTGTCTTGCAGCAAGGATGTTCAACTCTGTCGAGTTTCTGTGTTAACTGTAAGAAAAAATAAATATTTTCTGATGCAGTTATATATTTCAGCACCAATCGGTCTCCGCCAGTCACGTGACATTTGTTGCTAAGACGCCATTTTAAGTGGAAAAGGCATAGTGTACCGCGCCCGAGGTAAACAATTGACGTCACTTGGCGGAGACCGATAACAGTGTGTACATATGTGAAAACGAGTAAATAACTATTAATATTTTTAACATATGTTAAATACTCTATGATACAAAATAGGGGATTTTTTTGTAAAGAAGAAGAAGGCACCCTTTTATTGTAAGTTTATGTAATTTAGTGGCCCATTTGCTGATAAAGTTGCTGTTTCCGAGCTTTCTTGAACATACCATCGGACTACAGGAAGTTAAGTGTTTTGCTTTTTCGTCAGATGTAGCCATCTAAGCTAGCTATGATAGCCGACAGCCGCTTCCGCCATGAACACCTCACTAATGTTTAGTTTTAATCTTGGTACGAAAACGACTTCTTGAAGAAAACAGAAGCTGAAACAGTTGTCAAGGTAAACGTCAAGAGTTTAACCAATCCCAACGGGGTTCTTTATGCTAAGCTAAGTGTTGCTGCAAACTTTATTGACACTAGCTTATTGGATGCAGTTTGTTTATCTGTCAGATTGTTGTTTTTTCTAATCATTCAACGTAATTGGACATGGTAAACTTTGTGTGTCCACTGACCAGGGGGATAAATGAGCTGAGTTTATGTCAAATGCAGCTTAAAGTTCAGTCGTTAGGCTACAGCCTCAAATTATTGTGTGCTATGTCTGTTAATTTTCAATGACTATAGTGCATAGTTTCTTTTAATAATATACTCTATCTTAAAAGATTGTAAAACAAAAAAAATGCTTTAATCAGGAGAGGTGCTACTAGCTGAGAACTAATGTCTGAGATTAACCTGATTTATTTTATTGAGTTAATCTTTTTTTTATTATTATTTATTTTTTTACATCCTATCTTAAAGGTATATCCCCTTTGTATTGTGTGTTTTTTTTTTTATAAATTAATTCATTTATCAGTGTCTAGCTTTTGAAAATAGATGGTTCCCACTCTGCCTGTTACTAAACTGGAGTTAATTTCAGTATTTTCAGGTCAAAATAGGCTGCTAATAGAGGAAAAATAAGTTATATTATTTTATTGATCCATTCATCCTTTAATCCAGCCAAATCTTTCATATATTTAAGTCACTCATCCAACCAGTAAAATGTGTCTAAACCATTAAAAGCAGTTCCTTAATCGTTGACATAATAATCAAAGTTGGATCCACTTATGATCTTAGTGCAGAACAGATATAATTTAGCACTGGTTTCAATGTGCTGAGTAATTAATAGTAGCTGGAAGGCTAGAGATGTACTCTACTGATAGCTTAAGGGGTTTATTTTAACATTGCTGCAAGGCAAAAATACCTGGATGAGTATTCTGATGCAATGAAATAATATTCAATAGTTGTTTACATTTTAAACAGTTTTTACCTGCTATGTTATTCAGGGGGTGAATAAAAAATCCCTGCCGTGGTAAATATGCTGAATTTAAATGAGGTAGTGAAAGTGCCCTTGGTCTTATGTAAAATTGAGTGCTTCCTACAAATGAGAAACGGAAAACTTTCCTATACATTTAGGAAAATCTAAAAGATTTTTCCCCGCTCCTTGAATATTGCAAATGGTTGTTAACAATTTCGACCCCAAATGTTCTGTTTTCTCTTTACAGCTGAGCCGAGTAGCATGCTGGACGTGGGGAAGTGGCCAGTGTTTGCACTCCTTCCACCTGAGGAACTACGGCTTATCCGGCAGGCTTGTGTCTTTGGCAGTGCTGCAAATGAAGCTCTCTATGTCACTGTTAATGATGAGGTAACACTTAGGCTTTAAGCAAACCTTAATCCTGTTGTTTGGACTAAGGTGTTCTGGCTTGACTTGATAGACCTAATCTACTTTCAGGATATTGATTTTATCGTTCCTGTTTTGTCTTTAAGTAAGGGAAAAACAAGGTTTTAGGCTCTTGTCTGAAGTTGAGACAAGGGGCAGTAGTCGGCAGAGAGATAAGCAGATAGAATGAGACTATCCTTAGCCATATCAGCCTAATACCCAAGCATGCTCTATATTTAACCTGGGGAAATGCGCCATGCATTTCTCTTCTGTGCATCCATGTGTTCATTCCTCACTGTGAATTGAATAGGCAAGCAATTTGGCAGGAAAACAACTTGTATTTTGATATATAAATAAAAAAAATAGAGTTTATGGTACATAACTGCTTGCATGTTTACTTTATTATTATTATTATTATTATTATTATAGCTTTAACCCTTTATAGGGCAAGTTACCATTTCTGATCACTAGCATACTCCTTACAAATGGAGTCCCCCCCCTCGCTCAGTAAAGTCTAGAACAACAAGATCTATATCCAGCCATTCAGCAAAGATACTGCTATATGGCTCTACATCTTATTTTGGCATTTGACCTATTAGATGAGCCCTTGAATGATATATTACCCACTGCACATTAAGTTGAAAAAAAGTAAACAAGTCAAGAAAAAAAGGTAAAAAGTTAATTTAAAAGGTAAAGAAAAAAAGGTAAAAAGCTAATTGAAAAGTTAAAATGTACAGTTAAAAAGTTAAGTTAACAATTATATTTAGGTTTCTAAACTAAAATAATATAAGTGCCATTATCAGCATCAATGCATCTAAGGTTATGTTGTACCAAAAAAGATGTTTCTTTCACTCTCAGAGTGTTTTTCTTATAGTAGCACTTATTTTGTGTTATTTTTCTTAATATATTTGGGCAACTTGGCGTTTCTTGTTATTACATTGACATTAATTTTTGCCATCAAAATTTTTCAAAGGTCATAAGGTCTTATCCTGGATTCTAATAACACTATTTGTTGACGTGGATTTTCAAAGGACTTCAAGGCAATGCAGCTTTATTTGTATAGCACATTTCAGCAACAGAGCAATTCAAAGTGCTTTACATAAAATCAGTTAAAAAAATAAATAATACACAGAAGAAACAGTTAAAAATAAAAACAGAATAAAACACAAGAATAAAAATTACAGTGCAGTATAAGAGATTAAACAGTAAAGAAATGAACGCCATTTAGAGAAAGGCAACATCAAAAAGAAAGGTCTTTAGTATTGATTTAAAAGAACTGAGAGAAGCAGCGGACCTGCAGGTTTCTGGGAGTTTATTCCAGATGTGAGGACCATAGTAACTGAAAGCTGCTTCCCCCTGTTTAGTTCTGACCCTAGGAACAGAAAGTAGACCTGTCCCAGATGACCTTAGAGGTCTGGGGGGGTCATAGTGTACTAGCAGGTCAGAAATGTATTTTGGCCCTAAACCGTTTAGTGATTTATAAACTAGCACTTCACTGAGTGCCCCGTAAAGGGTTAATTCAGTTTATTTTATTTTTTTCATTCAGTTTATGTAACCTTAAGTGCCTTGAAAGGCACTATAATTCAAATGTATTATTATTTATACAGTGCCATTCCCCAGCAAATCTGCCTCAAGGCTCTTTATAAGCCAAGCAGATCCAGATTTGTTTACAAAAATAGAAGGTTTATTCAGGCCAGTCGAAGATAAATTATTATGTATTCCAAAAAATCCAACTCGACCCAAGTTACCAAAAAATACAGTTAAGCTAAGTTTTTATGATGGTTAGTTAAAAGTTTTCTAACGGACTCCAGTGATGACAGCAATCTCTACTTCCTTCATAATGGCAATAAAAAAGATAACATCAGATAAACATCCTTAATGTTAAAAAAAATTCAAATGTATGTAAACTCTATTGTCTGTTTCTATTTATTGCATTAGCAGCATGTAATTCTACTTATACTAATTCATTTAAATTAAATAGATGATGGATGATTTTATTTGACTAATGAAACCTCCATAAAATGAAAAGTAAAAACAAAAATGAGCACATTTCCATCTCCATTAATATTACAGCAGGAGAAGACAAGGCTTTGTAAACCTGTGGTTTAAATGTATCATTTAATAGCATCAGCAGCAGTTGAGCTGTGATGTTTGCTGTTTGCAGGTCTTTGCCTTGGGCACCAACTGTAGTGGCTGCTTAGGCCTCGGAGACCTTCAAAGCACTATTGAGCCGCGCAGGATTGATGTCTTGTGCGGAAAGAAGATTGTATCCCTGAGCTACGGTACAGGACCACATGTGGTTATCGCCACTGCAGGTAATCGGTTCACAATAGTTCAGAAAATCTTTATTTGACCTCAAGGCCAAGTTGTTATGGGAGGAAGAGAAATGGAAGCACGAGCAAACAGGACAACATGTGTTTTTATTGCAGTGCCTTGCAAAAGCATTCATGATCTTTTATAGATTTTGTCTTTTTGCCACCAAAAAAATCTGTTTTATTTTAATATGGGTTTTGGGTAAAAGATGAAAATGCTACTGTTTATAAATGAAATTGCAATCACACATTCAAGTCTTGTTAAGTCCATAGTGCTGTCACCAACATGTTTCACCTTTGGGATGATGCGTGTAGGGTGATATGCTGTGGTAGTTCTTCCTCCAAACATAGCTATTTCTATTGTTGCTCTAAAGTTGCTCTATGATTTGTTTTAAGGTTGACTTTCTTTCCAGTCTCCCATTAAGGTCAGGTTTTCTGTTCTCCCAGCTGCTATTGAGCTCTGGAGTTACTAAGGGTGTCTTGTCCTGATTCTATTTATGAGTATTAGTGTAAAACAGGGTTTATTACAGATGTTTGTCACAGATTAAATATTCTTTTTTAAATAAAAAAAGACCAAATATGAAAACCACTTGTCTTTTTTCCAATTTCAATCTCCAACATACGTCGAAGTTGGTGTTTTTAATGTGAAAAAGTGTAGTTAGGTTCATCTGCATGAATCGTTTTGTATGGTATTGTTTGTTCCACCGTTTCCTTCTGAACGTTTTTAAGACATATGAAGATGCTGTGATTGAACAAGCCAAATAAAATACATCGTATTTGTTAGTTTTGTGTTGAAAATCTAGGCTGCATGTTTTTATTTGGTTTCCTTTATGTCACCCTTTCAAGACATTTTTAAAAGTCCTGCAGAGCGTTGCCTATTCCCCTAAAAGCTGGGTCAATCCAACTGGACTTTTTCGTATCATTCGTTAAGAAAATATTAACCACTCTGACAACATGAATGAAAGTTTCCCTGTTGCCCTGTAGATGGGGAGGTGTTTGCCTGGGGCCACAATGGCTACAGCCAACTTGGAAATGGGACCACCAACCATGGTCTGATCCCCGCCCTGGTCTCCACCAACCTCATCAACAAGAGGGTGACGGAAGTGGCCTGTGGCTCCCACCACACCATAGCTCTGACCAGTGACGGAGAGGTACACCATCTTTTCTCCTCATTGCCTGTGGTCAGTCTGTATTTCCCTGGACTGTGAACTTTGTATCTTTGTGCAGGTGTATGCCTGGGGCTACAACAACTCGGGCCAAGTAGGTTCTGGGTCGACTGCCAATCAGCCAACGCCACGTCGGGTTAGCAGCTGTCTACAGGGCAAAGTGGTGGTCAACATAGCCTGTGGCCAGCTCTGCTCCATGGCTGTTCTGGACAATGGAGAGGTGTCATAACATGTTGCTTTGAAAAAGAACTCATACTTTCTGCACCATTGTGTTCTGTAAAGTGCCTTCCAAAAGTAGACCTTAACCTGTTTTACTTCGATTTAATATAATAGACCAATTTAAATGTAAAGTGTTAAAGTGCATTGTATTAACCCTAATATAGGCAATACTTTGTAGAACTACTTGTTTTGGGTTTTTTTTACAAGTACAAAGCTCTACCAGCTCTGACATTTTGGCCTATTGTTGTTTGCAAATGCCTCAAACTCAGTCAGATTGGATGAAGAGGTTCTTTGAACTTCAATTTTCACCTCTAGCGAAGTGAATTTACAGTGCAGTCTCATGGAATGCATTTAATTGCGTGGTTAAAATGTGATTAAATGTGAAATGGTTTAACAAGTATAAAAATAAAGATCCGAAACAGCTAACTTTTTATTTAAGGGGTAGTTATAGAATTTTTTCATTAACATAAAATAAAAAGCAACCTTATTCTTGCCTTTTGTAGATTTACGGTTGGGGCTATAACTGCAATGGGCAGCTGGGTTTGGGAAACAATGGAAACCAGCAGACCCCGTGCAGGATTGCTGCTTTACAAGGTGTCAATATTGTGCAGGTAAGAATCCAGAGTAGCCGATACTTTTATAAATCTCCACTTCCTATTTTTCATTCATGCAGTTCCCTTTTCCAAATTCAGGTGGCATGTGGATATGCACACACGCTGGCCCTTACAGATGAAGGATTTGTTTATGCATGGGGAGCCAACTCCTACGGACAGCTGGGAACGGGCAATAAAAGTAACCAGGCCCTCCCCATCCTAATAAACACAGACAAGGAGAGGTTAGTAAACAGCTTGCATTGTGTTGTTAAGTAATCGGCGCATTTAAGCAGAGCCCTAAAACAATGTTCCCAATAAATTTTTCCTTATAATGCCTTTTAAAGGTTACTAAGCTTGTAGTATTTTTGTCAAATTTCACCCGCAAAAATCTGTCTGACTGGATTTTTGTGTAGGAGGCCAAACACTGGAGTCTGTGATTTGATCCATGCTTTTAGAATCAATGTAAATTAAGTCTGATGGCATCTATTTGTAATCAGACACCTTTAACCGGATGTATTTGAATAAAATCTAGTTTAGCAAATATCTGCTAAAAGTCACTAGAGTGTAATTTAATCTACATCTGTTCTTACAGGCCTTCAGAGTTTGTTAAAGAAAACTAGTAAAGTGGAGAATTTTAAGGCAGGGTCGAGTTATAAAATGATATCCTTAACTTCCCTAGAAGCGTAGCAAAATATATTGCTTTCTGTGGAGGAATCCAAAAACGCACATGACCATAGATACAGTTTTATATAACGATAGCAGCTTTATGCTGTTTTTCTGGTGGGATTCGGTAGGTTAATAAGATCAATACTGCAGTTAGAAGCATGAGAGTTAGAAAGGGGTGTGCAGGTTCACCTTCCAACAGAAGAAGAATCCCAAACATATGACAAGAGCATCAATGGAAGGGTTTAGACAAAGTTTACATCTAAATTGAGAATTTGAGATGAAGATTCTGAGGCTTTGAAATTATATGCAAAGATATTGGAGACATAGATTTAATTGCAGCCAAAGACCGGTGCATAGGCGGATCTACTGGGGTGGCATATGCCACCCTAAATGACAGCCTTGCCACCCCAGTTGGTTGTAGGGGTGGCAAGGCTTATAAATCATGGATAATTAGAGAATTACGACCCCTAATTTCTAATGTCGGACTGCAGTGAATGCAGCACGAGATGACGCGAGAGCGACTGAGACTGATTAGTTTTGAAAACCGAGTGGGGCAAAGCGAGGGAGCCAGGGGTCATGGAGAAATTTAGAGAAATGAAATCATAATGAAAGCACAATGTTGCTAGTATAGCTGAAATGCTGATTTTGAGATGATAAAAATCAGGTTGCAGAACGTTATTTCTCTAACTATGATGTAAGTTAGGCCTGACATCTCAGGCTCATAAAGACATATTTGCGGTCAACTATGACAGGAAAGAGACTATCAAGTTTAGTTTAACTCAAATCAAAACGCACAGTCATTGGATTTAAATAAATCTGTGAAGCGTTTTGCTGAGCAACGTGGAAATCACTGCATTCAGCTGTTATAGTCATTTCAACTTTATGTTATGCTCTCTGATGAGCCTTTACAGAGCTGTTACATTTTGTTTTGGCACCTGAGAAAAAATGAGTGAGAAAAAAATCTGATTTCCTTTAATAAAAACAAAAGTGTTAAAAGTAAAGTTAAAAATGTGATACTGGTGTAAATCCTGCTTAATATGAAGCAGTGTTGTTTCTTTTTTTGTATATATATGGTAGTATAAAACTATCCAGAAATGACCTGTATGAACCTACTCACAAAATATTTTGTACTTTTTCATACTGGAAGCAAAATTTATTTTTATGTTGCTTCTTTCAGATTTGTGGAGATTTTGATGTAACATACTGTACCTGCCTTTTTGTTGATTTGTTGATATAGCAGCTCTATCTACAGCATATTTACATGCATGAAATGTCCCTTTCATGTTGCCTTAACTGCTGTATGTCAAGTAACTGAGGAACAAATGCCCATTTATTTCTACTGCGTAGTAATGCTCACTTTAGTGCAGCTCAGTCCATAGATCTCTGATGGGTAACTTTTTCTTTCTATAGTTTCTTCTTGTGCAAATGCTGCAAAGCTGCCTCTCTGACAGTCAATCTCACATCTGACAGCACCTGTGTCTTACCTTAATACCTTTCCTGTGATAAGGCCTCTCTAGAAGTAGTGTTATCATTCTTCTATCTCCTATTAAGTGGATTTCTAATATGAACGGCTTCACATGAAACACTGACTGTACATACTATTCTCCCCAAACTGTGATAACTGTGATTAAATTCAGTGTAAACAAATGCCATATGTTGCCACCCCTCAAAAATTCCTGCCCCCCTCTCGCCACCCCAGAAATATTTTTCTAGATCCGCCCCTGGTGCAAATTCACTCCTATGTTTACTTCTTTTTCACTGTTATCCCCCACTTTGTCATGGTCTATCACATCAAATCCTAACAAAATACCCTGTGTTCACTGCCTATAATGTGATAAATTAAGAAACAAGCTGAAGGTATATTAAATACATTTGCACGGTTTAGTGGTTAAGTTTTCAAGAATGGGGATGTGTTGAGGAGGATCTGTTCTCCTCCTGTTACAAGCTTCAAGGTTTGACTTCAGATTTTCTCCCCAGGATGGTGGAGGTGGCTGCATGTCACACCAGCCACACGTCAGCCGCCAAGACGCAGAGCGGGCAGGTTCTGATGTGGGGTCAGTGTCGGGGTCAGGCCGTGTCCAGCCCTCACCTTACCCACTTTAGCAGCGCCGATGACGTGTTCGCCTGCTTTGCCACACCGGCTGTCACGTGGCACCTTCTTTCAGTGGGTAAGATTACAGAAGAAATGGAAAAATAGGGGAAAAAAACAAAAAACAGGCTCCCAGATGTCTACAATTTTAAATTATTTAGGGATTTAGTTGAATATTTAACATTTTTCTCATTGCGATATTTCCCCTCTCAACCTTTTAGAGGAAGGGTCTCAGGAGACCAGTACTCCTTAATAATTCAGGGATTTTTTGTTAAATACTTAAAATTGTTGCCATAGTCATCTTTAACCTTTGACCAGATAGAGATACTCGTTTAGGAGGCAGATGTTTTTGTGTCAAAAGTACAAGTTCCTGGAAGTGGCTTGAGAAATAAACAGGAAATCCTGTTTCCTTTCTGTTTCAAACAAGAGTTGACATAAACGCCACTTTTTAGTTTCTACGGCCACACTTCCACTTTACTTTGTTTTTAAAGCAAGTGATACCCCCTTATTTTAAATCAGTTGGATTACTAACAAAGCCTCATATCTGCAGCAGTCACCCATTAAAATAATTTTTATTTTGTAGAAGAATAATCTTATATTTAAAGTTTTAGATAATTGCAAACTTTAATTTGACCACAGTATTCACAGCAAAACACATCTCAGGTTAATCAGTGTTTCATGTCAATCTATAAATCTGTTTACTTTTGCAAACTAACCCACTCCCATTGAGGAAGATAGTATTTGGTATATGAAATGTTCAAAGCTTTCCTACATGTCGCTTTGGAAAAGAAACGCATTTAAACTGAGATTTTGTTTTTTTGTTTTTTTTTTGTTTTGCCAGATGGAGACGACTACCTGACAGTTGCCCAGTCTTTGAAGAAGGAGTTTGACAGTCCAGAGATTTCTGACCTCAAGTTCTTAGTTGATGGGAAGTGCATCTATGTTCACAAAGCTCTCCTGAAGATCAGGTAGGAAAACCAAACAGTCGTTTGATTAGTTGTTGTTTTGAAACTGAAATGAAGCTTTTTCTTTAAAATCCTTTTAAAGTTTGACTTTCCCAAATGTAAAAGCATAATCCCACTCCCAGATCAAATGGAATAATCCCACCAAAGTGGGCGGTGTGGAAAGGACCCTGGGGGGAAAGGCTAGTAGTGGGGGTCAGGATGAGAGAAACAGGCAGCTAACTTAATTTGACTTATTGAAGCATGAAGAGAGAGCAGAGAGACGCTGGTAGTTACAAGATGGATAGATCTTTTGAGATGGAGGATAACCCCTCCCAAATGCAATACAACCTTATCAGTTCGAGACGAATCGTTCAAGGACTCAGCGATCCCTGAAGTTGGTGTTGCGAAGGCAGTAGAAGAGAGGATGTCTCCATACATGGGAGTGTGTCTGACTGATTTCTTTTTTTTATGCCTGAATGAAGGGTTGTGATGACTGTTTAAACCAATATGGAACTTAAACTGCAATAGCCATTGTTAGACGCTAAGAAGGCAGCACTAATACCACTGAATAAAATAAATTAATAAATACATACATAAATGAAAACAAATTCAGAGTAAATTAAACCCTTTGTATTTGACAGATGGGTTTTTTGAGACTTCTACATTATCTGCAATATTTCTGTTCTTGCAAAACTTTACTTATGCAATCAGACACATGGGGTTAAAAGAAATTGTAGGATAAAATTGACAGAAAAGCCTAATGCATCAGAAATGAGAGATTTGTTAGGATTTTCAATGACAGCTCTAGCTCGTGCTTTAGGCTTTACAGGGTTAAAATTGCTCCCCTTAGCCCCAGTTTAAGCATATTTTCTTTAAATATAATATTTATATTTGGGTTGAGTTTGGCTAACATTGCGCTGGATTGTCATGAGATCTGAGTGTCAGTCTTACAACAAATCCATCTTTAAAAAGGCCTTGATGAGGCATTACAAACATGGCTATGCTGGAGGACTCAATGTGGGACCACAATGGCCTCAATTTTAGCTAAAATAGCGACAATTTTTCACTTAAAAGAAGGAGCAAAGAGAAGCACTTTGTATTTGTAGATGGGAAACAATTCGCTGCTACGATCGGCTGAAAGTGTATTATGGAAGGCGGGTCGCAGTATTGTACTAAACGCCCCTCCTTTTCATGGACACACTGAATGGCAGCCATCCCAGATTGATAATGTAGAACTCACCTCACTTCTACACATATCAATCCTGCTACTGCCAGGTTAGAGCTCGGCTGGACTTTGTAGTTCTTTGCTGCTGAAAACACCTAAATTTCCCACTGTGGGACATTAAAGGATCATTATAATCTGTTATTCTATTCTTGCCTGGAAATGAAAGGGTTTTATGTCTGTTTGAAAAATCTGTTATTTTGTGATTTCAATTAGTCTGTTTTTTATCTTTTTATCTTTTCTTGCTTTAATAAAATCCGCAAGATTTTCCTTTCGGTGAAAAATGGCCTGAAAACTAAAACAGTTTCTCTGGTCTTTCTGTCTCTAATATTATGCTTCTCCACTTTCTGCTCACATCTTTAGAGAAAAGGTTTTCCCTTTTGTTGTCCATCAAGACATTCAATTCGGTCACTTAAGGGTTCAGATGTTTTTTCTGTTTGAATGCGTATCATGAAACATCTCACCATGGCACAGAAGGGTTGTTATATGGAGAGGAGGAAAAATGCTCTGGATGTCCCTGAGCTTTTAAGTAATGACATCTAATAATATCAGCAACAGTAAAAACAAAACAAAAGAACAAACCTAGAACACATTCTACAAAAACAAACTTGGCATGAAGTCCTATATTTAAATGGAATATGCCGGACAGTGTGCCCTGTCCCTTACAGGGAGGCAGAGAGCAGCCTATTGTTTCCCATGTTTCTTTTTATAACCACACAGTGTGTGCATTCCAATCTCTTGCTCTTTTGCACTGTCAGGAGGAAGGAGCCGGACAGTCTGCACAGTAGGGGTGTAAATCACATCCATCATGGCGATTCGATTCAGTATCGATTTCCTGATCCAACGATTCGATTATTTTCGATACTTAAGAATACACCACGATTCGATTCGATTAATCGATTAATCGGTTAATTTTTTTTTTATTATTATTTATTTTTATTTTTTTTTACACCTTACAGGCTAAACAAAGTTTCAAGTTTGAAATAAATCAATGAAAGCTGTAATATCATTATGCATTTTCTTTAGAAACAACAGCAAATAACAGAAGTAGAAAAGTTGCATCAAAAAATACTGCAAAAATACTGCACAATATCAGTGTAATGAGTTCAATGCAATACCTCGGCTCCAGAGAAACTGTCCAACATATTTTTTTAGAATGTAATAAATATATTCAGGAAAGAGAGATGTTGTGTAGAGAGTTAGACAGGAATAAAAATAAACTACATATAAGGGAATTGTTTCAAAGGTCATCTGGGGATGTAGTTTTTGGGGGTATTTTTAATTTTCTAAGAATAACGGGTATTTTAGGGAGAATATAATAGTTTGTCTGGTCCATACTCCATTCTGGAAGGTGGCGGTAATGCAGCTATAAGTTGTTTGCCAACCGCCATTAAAAAAAAGAAGAAGAAGAAGGCTCCAGAGTGTTGACGTCACCGCCCCTTGAGAGACGCTCCGCTGCACCTCTCCCAGATTGTAGCTGACCGCAAACAGTGCACCAGACAGGAGGCCGGCTAGTTTTGTTTTTATGACCGAAATTGCGGAAAACAACTCGTGAAGTTTGACCCGCTAGAAGAGCGAGGTGCGCGAGAACGCTGGGAGCCTTTTTCCAGCTGAATCTCCGCTCTTTTTGCCCCATTGTCCCTCCGTCGTCGGACTAAACTCGCCCCCACTTCCTCATCGCCTCGGCCGTATCTAGACCCACAGCGTGTAGCCCAGACCACGCTTCAATACTGAGCATAATTTAAAAATGTCTGTGTGAAGCTTGCTGCAACAAACTGCTGTAAGAGTATAACCAGGAAGCGCGGTAGGAGGGGAAAATAGGTTTAGCGCCACCGCAGCACGGGAGGAAGAATTACGCCCAGGAGCAAATGGATAAAAATACAGGTGCTGGTCATAAAATTAGAATATCATGAAAAAGTAGATTGATTTCAGTAATTCCATTTAAAAAGTGAAACTTGTATATTATATTCATACATTACATACAAACTCATATATTTCAGATGTTTATTTTGTTTAATTTTGATGATTACAAATGACAACAAATGAAAATCTCAAATTCATCATATCAGAAAATTAGAATATTGTGAAAAGGTTCAAAATTGATGGCCCCTGGTGCCACACTCTAATCAGCTAATTAACTCAAACCACCTGCAAAAGCCTTTAAATGGTCTTTCAGTCTAGTTCTATAGGCTACACAATCATGGGGAAGACTGCTGACTTGACAGTTGTCCAAAAGACGACCATCGACACCTTGCACAAGGAGGGCAAGACACAAAAGGTCATCGCTAAAGAGGCTGGCTGTTCACAGAGCTCAGTGTCCAAGCACATTAATAGAGAGGCGAAGGGAAGGAAAAGATGTGGTCGAAAAAAGTGTACAAGCAAGAGAGATAACCGCACCCTGGAGAGGATTGTGAAACAAAACCCATTCAAAAATGTGGGGGAGATTCACAAAGAGTGGACTGCAGCTGGAGTGAGTGCTTCAAGAACCACCACACACAGACGTATGAAAGACATGGGTTTCTGCTGTCGCATTCCTTGTGTCAAGCCACTCTTGAACCACAGACAGCGTCAGAAGCGTCTTGCCTGGGCTAAAGAGAAACAGGACTGGACTGCTGGTGAGTGGTCCAAAGTCATGTTCTCTGATGAAAGTAAATTTTGCATTTCCTTTGGAAATCAAGGTCCCAGAGTCTGGAGGAAAAGAAGAGAGGCACTTCATCCACGTTGCTTGAAGTCCAGTGTAAAGTTTCCACAGTCAGTGATGGTTTGGGGTGCCATGTCATCTGCTGGTGTTGGTCCATTGTGTTTTCTGAGGTCCAGGGTCAACGCAGCCACATACCAGGAAGTTTTAGAGCACTAACCCTTCCTGCAGCTGACCAACTTTTTGGAGATGCAGATTTCATTTTCCAACAGGACTTGGCACCTGCACACAGTGCCAAAGCTACCAGTACCTGGTTGAAGGACCATGGTATCCCTGTTCTTAATTGGCCAGCAAACTCTCCTGACCTTAACCCCATAGAAAATCTATGGGGTATTGTGAAGAAGAAGATGCAATACACCAGACCCAACAATTCAGAAGAGCTAAAAGCCACTATTAGAGCAACCTGGGCTATCATAACACCTGAGCAGTGCCACAGACTGATCGACTCCATGCCACGCCGCATTGCTGCAGTAATACAGGCCAAAGGAGGCCCAACTAAATACTGAGTGCTGTACATGCTCATACTTTTCATGTTCATACTTTTCAGTTGGCCAACATTTCTATAAATCCTTTGTTTTTATTGGTCTTCAGTAATATTCTAATTTTCTGATATGATGAATTTGAGATTTTCATTTGTTGTCATTTGTAATCATCAAAATTAAACAAAATAAACATCTGAAATATATGAGTTTGTATGTAATGTATGAATATAATATACAAGTTTCACTTTTTAAATGGAATTACTGAAATCAATCTACTTTTTCATGATATTCTAATTTTATGACCAGCACCTGTAGACCGGAGGGAAAAAAAAAACATTAATCGATTATCTTGCGGACGTGTCGATGCATCGGATCGTCGGCTTTTGGATCGATGCATCGATACAAAACGATTATTATTTACACCCCTACTGCACAGTCAACAAAGTGTACATGCTCACACAAATGATGCCTGCTCTTCAAAACCTCCGCTTTGACCATATCTCATGCAAATAACACTTTAAAGATACTTTAGAGGGAAAAGAGTTTCTTGACTCCTCTGCTGTCGCCCTGGGAGACGATGACAGCAGCTGTGTTTCTGGCTAGTTGAGCATGGCAGTGAAGGGGGGGGGGTTGTATAAGAGATAAAAAAGTCCTCAAAGTAACACAACAAAGATTGAGTGAGCTGAAATATTTCACTCTTCATGCACCCTTTGCCTGTTGAGTTTTATGTTTTTGTTCTTCCAGAGATATTGCATGCTCTTCATCATGGATGTTAAAAAAAATTAGATCATTTTTATATAGATTTTTTTTTTAGACCTTTGTAAAGACAACTTTACAATCTATATGGAATTGACGGCATAGTAACGATATTTTCTATAACTAAATTTGAGGGAGAGCTGGCAGAAGAGAGGGATGGAAAGGATGTGTTCACCTGCTGCACACGGAGCGAGCCGTTGCTGTGAATTGTAGAAATCATTTCCTGAAGGCTCTTTTATGATGGCAGAGACGTTGGACCGGGCTCTGCCGTCCCTGCAGTGCGTCACGGAGCAGATGTGACGGGTTGTTTGTTTGGTAATGTCACATCCCTTCCTGGCACAGACGTCTCCAGGCTGCGTCTCATGATTCTTCCAGGTTTATGTGGAGCATTATTGACACCGGTGCTGCTCCCCGAGCAGACCACAGCTCAATATAGCCTCCATCTCAGACATGGAGATTTCTAACATCTTATAGCAAAACAAGGAAGGTTCTTTAGAAGATAAGCTGCTCATGTTCTCATTGTTCTCACAGCTGGAATATTGGTCCTCCAGTCTACCTTAAGCACATGTAGTCCTATACAAGAGGAGTCTTAGTTCCATATTAATGTTGATGTTGTTTCATCAAATCAATGATCCGTAAAAAAATAAATGCTTGTTGAATAATTTAATCATTTATAAATTAATTAAATATCATTGATTGTCTTGGACCAAAAAAAAAATATATCAGCTTTAAAATAAATGTTTTACAAAGTGAGGTGATTAAAGGATTAAAATCAGTAAGCAACAACAGGAGAAATTATTAAAAGAAAACTCTGTAAGTAGCACAAAAGCAAATCACAGGTGCGATGGATGGGAGAGATTTCTGTGCAATTTTATGTAGGATTGAAGTTTTCTTCCCTTCAGATGTAAACACAACTGATGCAGGAGACATAAAAATGCAGAAAACAATGATTTTCTTGTTTTTGTTATCATAAAACAAGAAAATTCTGGGTCCTGACCCAACCGTGGCATTACTCACGGATCTAAAAATGATGAATCACACAAGGATGAAGAGTTGTTGCTGGAAACATACAGTCCTAAGGCTGTTTGAAGTGTGAAGATAAGAGTTATGATGTTAAAAATGCATCAGGCTCTAAAATAATAGTGTGTCTTTAGTGGTATAGTGCTAGATTATAGTTTCATCATAATGGAAAAGACAAAATTGTACATCCTGTTAATTTGTTTCCAACATAGAGAAGTGTTTGCCGTCTCCATTGCCTTGCACTGTTCTTTCCTGCCACTTCTTCCTGATGTGTTCCGTACCACAGCGGCAGCATCGCCTTTGTATGATTTCTTCTCCTCTGATAAAATTGCCACCTTTTAGCAGACTTTTTTTTTTTTTACCTTTGCACATATGAAAAAGCAATGCTTACAGCCTCACATCTAATTTATTTAAGTGCATGATAGCCCCCTCCCAACAGTGTTCATAATGCATTATGTCATTGTGTCACTGCAGAGAGGTGTTATTTGCTTGCTAGCACTATTTTAGCAGCGTATTGAGTTTTAGAAATGGATGGACAAATCTATTTATTTTTTATTTATGTATTTTTTTTTGGTAGATAGTTAGACCCAGGAATAGCTCTAAGAATTTGCATTTCAGTTTGCATTTCCACTGAAGGATGTTTTGACAGTCCTCTATCTAATCATATTTGCTGCATTGGCTGAATCTAAGCGTATTGTTTATCCTGGAACAGTACAGAAATGATCCAGCTGCTTCTGTTATGGTAAAACTAGGAAGTGATGACCCAGAGACACTGGAGCTTTGTAGATTCATCTCTGTAGGGTTCCTTATTTTATTTAGATTCTTTTTGTTATCATTCTGCCTCATTAAGTTCATCTCATCTCCTTGTGTCCTAACAGCACTCCTCGTGTACCGTCGTCTCTTTTAAAAGATGTTTTTGGACATCTAGCTGTCCTTAAGGCCTCTGAATGCCCCGCACCCCCGCCGTGATCCCTTTGTATTTAGTCTTGTGAAGTTAGAATTGGTTTGATCTTGAGCCCCACTGGAGTCTTGTGAATAAGCGGACTGAGCATTGACTCGTGAACAGCACTTGTGATTATGTAATTTGCAAAAAATAAGAAAGCAAAAGTTCAGTTACTGGTCTGTTACTTTTAGTCTGCTCATAATAATAGTCTGCTCCTTTCCCCCCCTCTCTCTAGGTGTGAGCATTTCCGTGCTTTGTTGAATGAAACAGATGAAGATGTTATAGAAATTCAGCAGTTCTCCTATTTAGTGTACAGAGCCTTCCTGGAGTATCTCTACACAGACAATATCAACCTGCCACCAGAGGATGCTGTTGGTAAGCATAAGCTTAACTTATATTCTTTATTTATTAAAGGTGCTCCACATCAGCTTTATTAACGTTGTGTATAATATAGATATATAGATAATTTGTGTATAATCACATCTACTTTAAAAACACCGGTTTTAATTGTTTATATCTAAAGTTTAGATGTTTATGTTTCTAAAGAAGCTTTGGTGCATTTTATTCCAGCTGAAAGCAAAAATATAAATTAAATTATGTTGATTGAACTTAAATTAGTAAGACCTTACAAACTTGACAAAATCTCTTGACAGAATGTAATCTTTAGCTATTTGGTTTTTAAAGATGTCTTTTTTGTTTTTTTAAATAGACCAACTCGAGGTTGCACATATTTGAACTGGATACATAGTTTATATTATGAGAGGTGGATTTGTTTTTAGCCCCCCGAGTAAAAAGTACACATATTCATCCGTTTCAAATCATGTTTAAAAGATTTGCCCATCTGCAAACTGAGAGGTTTGCCCATTCTACCTGATAAAGGCAGTTTAAGCTCATTTAGATTCAACAGGCAGCATCGGTGACCAGCTCTCTTTAGGCTTGTTATGTGATTAGATTTAGCTCTGAGCTTTGACTAGACCATTCCAACTAATGAGGATGCCTTGATCCAAGTCATGTCACTGTATTCTTTAGTGTGCATTTCTGGGGTGTTTTTTTTTTTATTTTTTTCCTACTGGAGGTGAACCCTCACCCAGTCTGAAGCCTTTTATAGGCTCATGCTTGGCTCCACCCATCTTCCTATTTCCTGTGACCAGCCTCGCTGTTTCTGCTGAACAACAGCATCTCACTGCAGGAAGCTACTATCAACGTCTTATTTGGGGGAATATAAAGTCATATTTAAGAAATAATTTGAATACATTAACTCATTTAACTAATTGACAGATCTAATATAGATAATTTACCCACAGATGGATGTATTTAAACCTTTATTCTCATTAATAGATCTATGGTCCACTAATAGCTAATGAGTAAAGATTAGAATATTACATCAGATGAATTGAAATAAAATAATTATAATAAAACAAAAGAAAATAGACATTATTTATTGAATAAGTAACTTCTAAAGTGAATGCTAAATTGTATTTAGGTGTTTCTCAGTATATCTAAATAAAGGGCGCATGGTAACGTAAGGAGGGGGTGAAAAATAAATGAGCGCCACACTTTCCAGATTTCTCTTTGGGGAAAAAAAAAGTGTGAATGCATTTGTTAGTTTTTTCCAACTTTATGTACATGGTGTTTGTCTGTTTTATCTGTGGTTTAGGTTATCTTTTAATGCTATAAATTTGAACTATTATTTTTTTTTACCTTCTGTCTCAGGTTTACTTGACCTGGCCACCTTTTACAGAGAGACAAGGCTCAAACGATTGTGTCAGGAAACAATCAAGAGGGGCATTTCTGAAGAGAACGCCATCACTCTGCTTTCTGCCGCGGTCAAATATGAGGCTCGGGTAAGATCACTGCAGTGGCTTGGCAGGGGGGTCCTGCACAGTAGCCTCTAGTCACTTATGCCCCTCAGCACTCACCTCATAGCCCTCTTCGTTTTTAGGACCTGGAGGAGTTCTGCTTCAAGTTTTGTGTCAACCATCTAACAGCTGTTACTCAGACCCAGGCCTTTGCGGACATGGATCATGACCTGCTCAAGAACTTCATTAGCAAAGCGAGCCGCTATGGGGCTTTCAAGAACTAGAAAGCCCCCTCCCCCCATGCAGCAATGGATTCCAGATGATATGTTTTAATTCTGCAAAAGCAGAGCCAACCAAAGCAAAATCCAAGCCAATCTGCTCTTCAAAGACTTGTCAAGAGGTGAGGGGTTTGGGTGGAAACTGCTATCTGATGCTGCCGTATTACTCTTAATCCTGTCCAAACATGGTGCAGTGGGACAGAAATATTGGGTTGCTCTACTAATCCGGCCTTAACATGAAGATGTGTCTGAACTTTCCAGTTTGTCAGACCTGTGTTACAAAAAGCAAGCTGTATTGCACGTGCATCTGCATCGTTTTAAGTTTACCTAGGAGGGATGAAGGTGGCTAAAAAACCCTGAATGTTTATCTATATTTGTCCCAATGAATCATCAGCTGAAGAACTTTTCTTTGCAAACCTCCATTTTTTTTTGTAAGCTGCAACTGACCCATCTGTACATAAAGCAATCAGCAGGAATAAATCCACCCTTTTACATATGTACTTTCTTTTTTTTGTATACAGTTTACACTAATTTAAAGCATATGAGTATAATTGTGGGTATTAGAAATGTTTTCATTATACTGGGCGATCCAGTAGAAACCTTCAGGCTCTGTTTACTGAATCTAAGCACATGAAGAGCTTAACAGCCAAGCGGAAGGTAGAACAGATTTGATATATCATTATTAATCACTGTGGGAAATGAATTACTAAAACAATTTTAAAACATTGTATTTGTTTGATCTTCCTCGTTATTTAGACACAGTGGATTTCCAAATGGAAAAACGAGGACAGAGGAAAGGATCTGAACTGTCAATCTTAAAATGCGCCGCAAAAAAATTGAGAAAACTCTAAAATTAATCGCTTCCCTGGTAAAGATGTGTTCAAAGCTCTTAAAAAATGTAGATTTATTGAGTCACCAGTTTTAAGATGACTGTGATGCTGTTTTTCAACTATTAGCATTAGCCTTTAAAATCCAGCTGGCTGCATCTGATGCAAAGCATTGATTGCTTATTTAAGTCATTTTAAACTTTTGACGTGATTAGCCTTTCTGAAATGAAATTTTCTTTTGTTTTTTTCCCATTTTTAAAGAAGGGCTAAGAAAAAAAAACTAAAAAGGAAAAAACAATTACTCATTCAGCTACTGAATACTTTCATTTAGCTAAAGTGAGCTTAAATAATTGTTTTTTTTTCCTAATAAGTTGGTTAGGACGTAAATTTTACAGCACTTTTTTTTGTTGTTGAAGCACCAACAAAACCTACTCATGGTGGTATCTGTGGTGATAACTGACCTGATGTTAGATTGGCTTTAGAGATATAGTCACATTTTTTGGCTGGTTTCTATTTTCTGGTCAGACCTTTTTTAAACACATCACTGTTGATGAAAGTAGCTGCATTTCTGTCTTCTCCCTTCATCAACATCTTTTAATAGAGAGATCTGTTATTAAGCGGATTTGTCTCATGGCGCATCCAGTAATCTAAAAAAACAACAACGTATCTTTTCTTATCCAGCTGGTCAGACCAAACCAAACTATAAATCTTCTGATCATTGTCTTAGATGACAGCATTTGTATTGAATGATGTATATTTGACACCTCAGTTTGTGATGATTTTAAATGTAACCAAGGTTTTTATTTTTTATTTCTTTTTATTGTTTATTAATTAAGGCCATCAAGACATGTTCAATTGCTGCATTAGTGAACGCAGAAGGAATGAATATATGCTTGATGTATGACTTGTGCTTTACTCACCATAAACAGCTTTTGTTGTTTGGATTATAGTGTTATTCTCCATTTTTTTAATTTTGTTTTTACTGGAGTCCCCCCACCTTTTGCACCTTATGTTGAAAGGTAGTGCTAATATTTTTTTTTAATAGGCCATTTGAACTGTTTTAGAGAAAGGTAAGATAAGGAATTACGGTGTTTTTACTTTGTATGTTTAATGCTGTTAGCTGGTAACATTGAAATGTTCACTAAATATTTGGAAATAAATAACTTAAACAAAATCCATAGTTTCTTTGTAACTGTACAGAAACCCAATATGTTTTTATTTAGGGATTGGAGGCATCTTTTCATTTTGTTCTCAGTAAATCTATTTTAATTGGGCTATTGAGATTAAATTCTCACTTAATCGCTGTAACAACCCAGGTAACACATACAATGGAAGAAATCAACACTTCTATTAGTTTTATCTTTCTAATATTGGTATTAACTTGCATTGTTGAAATGTAATATGTACATGGAAATATTTTTTTACAGAGACAGTATATGTTCAACTCTGTATCCCTAACTGCTGTATGCAATGACAAAAGAGAAATTTAGAAAAGATGCATTTCTAAACAGCGATAGAAATGCAAACAGCAGCAACTTGCATGCTGTTGCTTGAATTTTAAATACGTTATGGGTAATGTGTGTTTAATGCAGGAAGTGGTTTCAATGATTTCACTTCTACTCTGATGCAGCACAATTGGGCACATGCATGCAAACTTAAACCATGCACGTTTTTCCTGGAATCACGTACGTCTGTAGATTTGTGTTTTTACCCTCTGGCTGCCTAAAGTGTTCTAAAAAGTGTCGTCAACCAGGTTTTTTATGTCTTCATTCCAGCCTGACTTAAAAACATTGAAACAGGTTTTTTATGTCTTCATTCCAGCCTGACTTAAAAACATTGAAACACTGTAGTATTCTTTATATTTTTGGAAACAAGAAATGCTGATTTCTTGTTGCAGATAATGGGGAATAACTGGTTGTACAAATGTTATAAGGCTGTTTCTTCAAACAAATGGTGACACCTAAAACTATAAATTCCTCTACTAACAGGAAGCAAGAAATATTTAGCTGTGTGCTGTGAAGGGTAAACTTATTTTCATAGATGATTATACATGCCTTATATATGTGTCTGTTTTCTTTGCATTATATTTAAAGTACACTAAATATTTTTGGCCTCTACAAATGAAGGCATGAAAGTAACTACTAAAGTAATTACTATAGAAAAAATAAACACAAGAGGAGAACTATCAATGCTTAGGTAAAACAGCAGGACACTGATTCCAAATTTTAACACTTAATATAGGGCTGTATGTTTACAAGGAGCATATTATATGTGCTTCCTGAGCTTTGCCCAGAAAAATAAATATATATTTTTATTTAGTTCAGTGTAATGAAAAAGCACCAATTCAAAATCAGTTTACAGAGACAATTCAATCAAATCAAACAGGCAGATTAGATATAAATTTTCTATCTTAGAAAATCCAGCAGATTGCATCAAGTCATTGACTAAAGAATTTATTCCACTTTGATTAGCACGTAGCAACAGTAGACAGCCCCTTGCCATGTGTCATTGACTGCAGCAATCCCTTTTACCAAGCATGCTTGAAGCAAAAGTGGATAAGACTGGATTCCGCCATGGCTAACTAGAGGTATGAAAAGACAAAGGCAGAGATATTTAAAGAACACAAAAGCACTGATCCAGTAATATCTTCTATGTTAGACAAGGAAATGGTAAAACAAGGTTCCACGTTGCTTTATCTACCAAAAAATAAGCAAATTAGCTCAATCCAACGCAATTTTCTACTGACTGATGGAAAAACATGTTCTAGATACTCAAAGCTAGTACAGATGCATCCAAGTGAACTTGCAGTATTAACTGGAGCTAAAAGTTATACTACAAAACATTTAAAACCCTTCATTCTTTGTTTGCCTTTTTTTCCTACCACAAAAGAAAAAAAAAAGAATAGTATAGAATATTCTGAGACATTACTCCAAAAAAAGCAATTATGAGCTCACGGTATTCTAGGGAAACATACATAAGCAACAGCCTAAAAGGTTTATGCAGTCAGTTGAAGCAAAGAAATAGATTAGCATGTTAAAGTTACAGTACCATGTGTTTCACCTCACAGCTTTAGTTTTAACTTTCCTAGATGTTTAACGAGAGATCTTAGATTAGTCTAATTGTCACTGTCTCTGCAAGTGTCTACGGACATGTTTAATGTGTTTTTCTTTACGTTGAGTTGCATGCAAACTGTGACTCATTTACATTATCACTTTCCACAGAAACATCAGTAGTCTGCGTAGTTCTTGCAGATGAGCTGTTTATATGACGGAGGAGGTGGGATGTTTTTTTTTTCTTTGTATGATTTTTGAAGGAATAACCCTGATTTGAAAAGTCATGCTGATAAAAAAAAAAAAAAATTCTGTGACCTGAATTGTGTTATTGGAAAATGTCAAACCCCACTTCACTTAGTTTTTTCAAATAAGATGAAGACACAGATGATGTATATTTATCAACATATCGCTCATTGCAAGCATAGGAAGTTCTCTGACTAGACCAAAACCACCATAAACTCTCTCCAGTCAGTGCTTTTATTTAATCAGTCTTATTCTTTAACTCTTAAAGTCCTTACCTGGAAATCTGACTTTCATGTTGAAACATTTTTTTTTTGGGTGTTGGGCCCCAGTTCAAATCACCTGGAAAATCTGGAGTGTAAAGGTGTTTTTTTGTTTTGTTTTTTTTGGGCAAGAAAAGCCTTTCAAAGTACCTAAAGACTCGCAACCACTATGCCCTCCTCTTTTCCACCAATAGAGGAAATTCCAACAATCAGGGACTCACCCGAAGTGCATTCGGGAATTTTTTGCTGCTTGTGTAACATTTTACCTTTTGACTGATAGACTGGGTGATAAACGAACTATGGCAGCCCACTAACGTCGCTAATGCTAGGTCCACATAAACACACATGCATGAAAATCTTGCGCATACCCTCACTAGAAGAAAATATCTTATTTTGCTCTATTCAACTTTCTTTTCTTTTTTTCTTTTTTTACCATAAAATCGATTAAACTTAATTTTAAACGTGATTTTAAAGAGTAATGTAAATAAAATACAAGGTTATGACTCATTTAACTGTCTGTGAAATGGGATGCTGTAAGTTTTTGTGGTTCTCTTTCAGAATAAGGTCAACGTCTTTTGCAGGAAAGAGCAACATTAAGACAAAAGGGCAAGCATTTCCATTTTGGCTGCCCTAAATTTATCTTTTTTAAAGACACATTTTCTGAAACGTGTTTTGGCCTGCCCTAAAAATGTCTGTGTGAAAGCAAATCCGGCCCACTGCAGGTGTGAATTTTCTCAGTAACCATCCCTTGGACTGGACTAGCACTGTGAGCGCACCCTAGAGTTAAATTATTTTTAAGGTTAGGCCTAAAACTTTCCTTTTTGATAAAGCTTGTGGTTAGAGTGGCTCAGGTTATCCTGAGCTATCTCTATAGTTATGCTGCTATAGCCTTAGACTTCTGGAGGACATAGGGACTCCTATTTTATCATTCTGCTTCATTCTATCTCTATTCTCCCACTCTGCAGAATATGTTAGTTCAATCTCTAACGTTATGCTCTCTCGGCTTTTTCTCATAGTAGCTTCGCCTCGTCTGTTCCTGTTTGGCTGTGACACCATCCTGGAGAGAAATATCAGATGTGCTGCTGCCATTAACCCCATTGTTTGTAGATGTTCAAGATAGGCCTGTTTTTTCAGTGTAGTCAAGTTTCTCTGACTGTGACTGGCTGGGTGTGCTCTCTTCATCCTCTGACATGGTAGCTTGATTGAAGCTCGTCTGCCTGGCTGTGTGTTTCCTGGACGGGGCCGCCTTTTACAGTTTCTTTTTGTATCTCTGCTTCTGTCTCCTTGAACCCCAGTCGGCTCACTCACACTGAGCCTGGTTCCGCTGGAGGTTTCTTCCTGTTCAAAGGGAGTTTTTTTTCTCTCCACTGTCGCTATAAAACTTGCTTAGCATGAGGGATTGCATTCAAGTCAATGAGTCGATGCAAACAACTGATTTTCCTTAGATAGAAAACTTTGAATCAATTTGACTATATGATCTGGTGAACTGTAAAGTGCCTTGAGATGACGTGTTGTGAAGTAGCGCTATATAAATAAATTCAATTGAATTGAAATATCTGTGTTTGGTTTAGGATTTCCCCCCTAATTTCGAGGCTAACATTAGGAAATCATCCAGAACTCTAGACTAACATTGACTGCTTCCATTATTTAACACAATGTTTATGTTTGATCATTTATATACACAATTGACTGGTTATGAACATAACCATTAAAATAAGTTTACTGCAGCTTTGTTATTTTTTATTCAGTGCTACCATTGTGTATTATAACTAAATCATCTTAAGGCACGTTATGCAGATTGGATGGAAGTTTCTACCTAAGGAAACTAAACTGAACTAAACTGCATGAAGTCTGCAGAATTCATTTCTCCAGGTAAAGCATGTAGAGATGATAGAAATATTTTTTCTAAGTTAGCCACAGAGAGCAAGTCTGACACTTGTTTTCATTCAAAAGGGAATTTTACTGAATAAACTAGGGTTACTAGTGGACATAAATGGTTTATTAAAAAATGGTTCAGCACTTTAGATAATTTGTGGATAATTCTGAAATTTTACTTTCCAAAACAATAACATTAAAATAAAAGCAGTACCTGATGATTTTTCCCCCCACATAAAATCCATATTATTACTTCTCACTGACTATATATCACCCCACTTTTTATTTTGTGATTAACACTCACAGGAACATGTTTCCTGACAACACAGGTTTTTTACAAACAAAATTCGATGGTTTTCTAGTTATCAAGTAAATATACTACTTAAACTAAGAAAGGCTCTGAACTTTATAAAATGTGCTATATACAGAATGGGATGACTGTTTAAACCAGAATAGAGAGCTGTTAACTACGTACATAAAAACCACTGGTGTTTCAAAAATAAAAGCACTTTAGGTTAAAGCTTTTCAGAAATTTAACATGGCTTCACATTCTCTTTTCTACCCGTTTTATACAAATGCATATTAATGAAATAAATATAGTAAATTTCTTTTTTAAAGTAAGTCACAACATTTTACGGTTTTAACTAAGCTAATGTAATGCTCTAAACAGATTAAATATATCTTAAGGTGTTAAAGTGTTTGAGCTAACCACAATTTGAATATCATCCAATCTTAGACTGTTC